GTCCGGAGAAGGGCCACGAGGATGATTGGGGACTGGAGCACCTCCTGTATGAAGACAGGCTGAGGAAGTTGGGGCTGTTCAGCCTGGAGAAGAGAAGGCTGCGTGGAGACCTCATAGCAGCCTTCCAGTATCTGAAGGGGGCCTATAGGGATGCTGGGGAGGGACTCTTCATTACAGACTGTCGTGACAGGACAAGGGGTAACGGGTTAAAACTTAAACAGGGGAAGTTTAGATTGGATATAAGGAGGAAACTCTTTCCTGTTAGGGTGGTGAGGCACTGGAATAGGTTGCCCAGGGAGGTTGTGAATGCTCCATCCCTGGCAGTGTTCAAGACGAGGCTGGATGAGGCCTTGCGTGAGATGATTTAGTGTGAGGTGTCCCTGCCCACGGCAGGGGGGTTGGAACTAGATGATCTTAAGGTCCTTTCCAACCGTAATTATTCTATGATTCTATGATTCTATGCCAGCACATAAAAGTTCCTTAAGTATTCATCACTGCAATTGGCCAAGCTGAGGTTTCTCTTTCTATATATAAAATTGTAATTTCCACTGCTTGGCATGATGATGAAAAATGAGGTCTAGAATGGGAAAATTATTAAGATAAAAAAATTGCCTTTATGTTTCATACCGATCTTTCTCTGCAGTACCTGGAAGTCTGAAGACTACTTGTCCCAATAGCGTTCCAAAAGACACTCCAGAAATAGTGTACCTGGAGAAACCATCTGGACTTGAGACCTTAGAATCAGTCCTATGGTCATGAGAGCATGCTAAAGCATATGGAAGGATGCCACAAAATTAAGCAGACATCTCCACTGCATGTCTGCTGTAATGTATGTAAAAGAAGGAAACAAATCATATCCATGGCAAAGAAAAGGAATGATCCTAAACCAGGTGGTGATCGAATGATATTTTCTGGAGAGTTATATTAGAATTGTCTGGGGGAGGAAAAAGAGAAAACCAGCCAGTGCTAAGAATATAAGATATAGCTAGCAACCATGACAACTCTAATATTTAACTGCATAATCCAGGGTCATTATCTAGTAATAGCAATATAACAAGTGCTCAAAATAACCAGCCATCCCATCCCTTTCACCCAAACTTAGATACCCAAAAGCATCTGTTATGGAAATACATGTGTGTTTCTGGAACATAAATTAAATTACATTCTATGACCTAAATGTGGTGTGCTCTCTCTTCCACACCCTCTTCTTTCTTTTTGATCGTGTCTTTCATTCCAGAGTGATTTTGTCCATTGTGCTACATATTGCTGGCATAAATGGGAAGAGTTCGAATGAAGGCAGCAAAGCTATGATTATTTGTATTAGTATTTGTATTGTATGTACCCAGTGTTGTTTTAAATTCTTTCAATTCTTGCTTCCTTTGTCTTTTTCCTGAGTAACTTCTTTCCCCTTATTATTTGCTTTGTCCTTTGATTTTCCTATTGTTTTTTGAACCTGCAACCACCCTTTCTCTTTCACATTTTGCATTTTCCTGTGAAATAGTTATTGTCTTCTCTCCCACTCCCAGCCTAATACATTCTCTGGCCATCTATATTGCATTCAAGACAAAGGGACAAATAAGCTCTGGTTTTGGCTTGATGAAAAACAATGCTTGTCATTTCACACCACTGCCTTTCTATACTTCAGCTAATACTCGTTCTTCACACTACAGTGAGAGACAAGTCAAGCTAAGCATAACTGAAAGCCCTTGAAAAGTTGCAAAAGAGGAAATGTTTTTTTTTAGTATTATAAACAATGTTATTCAACTTTCTATTTCTTAAAGATGCCTCCTCTAGAAATATACCTGCATGTATTATTTCCTGCGTAAAAGGTTACACTGGACTTTGGAGGTTGAAACAAAAATGATTTTAAATGGAATGAATAGTATTCCTTTTCTTTTTTTTTTTCACTAGAAAGCTCCAGTTCCTGTATGGAGATTTATGTCAGGTTGACTTAATATTATTTCTGCCCCCTAGGCAAAAATATTTGCTCAATCCATTTTCTGCTCTTCTCCTGATAATTATTGTATTGTGTGCACAGTGTACTATCAGTAGACATCACAGGTGCAGTTACAGCCTGGTGGGACTTGACATTTGAATTCCACAGGTGAGTAGATCTGTGGAGAGGAAGTTCAGAGCACTGGCAGGGGTACCATCCAACAGCACTTCTGGTTGCCCGTGGTAAAAATGTATGCTGAAAAACACTGCACAAAGTGTTTGCTCCCGCTGCAAGGGATGAACAGCTGTCTTTGTCCATTTTATCAAAATAATATTTAAAATAAATAGACAATAGATAGCAGGTGTATTACGCATTATGAACGTTTACTTCCGTACATTCGAATTCAAATGTAGAAGATACAGACACCTGCAACAGGAGCAAATTTCAGAAGCTGCAAACTCAGACTTTTCAGAGAAAGCACAAAAGCGTCCTTTGATTATGAGAATGGAATATTCAACACACAGGACACACATGACATCCATTCTTCTCCACTTCATTCAGTATATGATACCCCATAAACTTCCTTTCACTCTCAAACTGTAACTGTTTAGAACATTTTTAGATATAAATCAGTGATCAGTAGACCAAAACCCTCTTTTACTTTTTGCTTATTCCTTCACCTCTGCACTTATACTCCCTTTCTATCTAGTTTTATATAAAAATCAGGGCCAATGTGTTCAGATTGTGTATACCCACATACCCACATGTGCCCTAATAACTTCTTAATCCACCTTCCCATTTTAGCTGAACTTCATGTGGTGAAGAGGTCCCAGTTAGTTTCTGGAAGGTTTTATAAAAACAGACTGCTACAGAAAGAAAAGGCATCCCAAAGGGGAAATGCAGTGTCATGAGACCTTCATGATACCTCCTTCAAAATACTACAAAATGGAGAATCTGCTTGGAGGGAGGAGTCATAAATAGTTTACATCTGGAGGAAAAAAGCTTCCCAATGCCTGAAGGACCACTTCTTCAGATTAAGAGATTTGGAAGGTGGTAAAAGGTGCTGCACTGGTATTAGTTTTGTTTAGGCATTTCGCAGCTGCACAGCATGTGAGTATCTAGGCCATAGATACATAATTAGAAGGCACATAAAAATCACAATAATATAATTCTATTTGCTGCCTTATTCAGCCAACCTTGTTTAACAAATGTTTACCAGGGCATGAAATCCTCTATCCACAGAACAGGTTCTGCAAAGGAAGCAGTGGTGGAAGCTTCCTCACATTATTTGACTGTTGATATCCATTGGTGGAATTAGGGAAAATGCCAGCCTGAAGCCCCTAAATTCATGATAACCACTGCTGAGAGGCTGACTTCTGGGCTCAGAGGTTGATTAGGGTAGTTTTGAGGTCAGGTAAACAGTTTTGTGCATGTATCTGCCATTCCCAAGGAGTAAAATACTTCTAATTCAGCAAGTAACACAGACTCCATAGATAAAAAAAAAATGCATTCACATAGTATTTTTTTTCATTCTTTCAGATGCAAAAATATATATGTGAGTCTAGTTTTCAAGGGCTCCAAGCTTCATAAATGTGCCAACTGGTTCAGGGATGTGTCAGTAATAATAATGCATTTATGTTTAGTAGACTCTAAAAACCAAATGATCTAAGGTCACCTTTTGAGTTTATACATCAAAAGTTAAGCGCTTTAATGCCAGTTAGTATTTTATAGTCCATTTGGATTTTCAGAGAAGACAAACATACATGGTTTCCACTGAATTAATGTGGTTGCTAAATACACACGTACGCAGCTGATATTAGACAATCAAATTTGACAAATCATTGTAAAACTATTTTAATTAATTATCTTCTCTACAGGTTTTTAAAAACACCAATTACTTTTGATTGGTCAAGTTCAATTAATGATGAATCAAATGCAAACATTGGGACAATGTTTTTTTTCTAACTTTCATGCCAGTTTGTCAGCAACTGAGCATCATAAAGGTCCTACAGTGGAAGGGGATTTGTAGAGGGAAACCTTAACTAGTTCCAACACTTTAGGCAACTAACTATATTGTGCCTGTAGCCATCAACCCTGATAAAGACAAGCTTCACTTTCTTACCCTGCATAGTTTGGATTCAAGGTCATCTTTGGCTGTCTTACTTCTATGAGTACAGGATTTCATCAGTTTCCCTCCCATCAGCTTGCTTCTGCAGCTCAATACTCACACAGATGCAAATTTGGATGTACTGCATGGTCAGCTGGTACAAAGATTACTATGAAACAGATACAGTGGACCAAAAGCCCAGCTCTTTTGACCCCTGTTGCTATATTACAAATGTTTCTGTTCAAGTAGCATTTGAAAGAATGATGATGTGGTCTTCATTTTCACAAGAAGTCTGAGATCTAGACTGAGGTAACTCCCTGAGGAAGGCAAAACTGCTAGAGTCACCTTCAGTGTGAATGTGAAAATAAAAAAGAATTTGAAAGAGAAAGTTTACTTAGCAGTAACTGTTATTACTTGGGGTTTGTTGCCTGTTAAAAACTTCCACTACTCACCGTCTTTCCTCTCTATATGTTAATTTTTCAGGTTTCTTGTGCAAAGGGACTGAAAATCACAGAGCACACTTTGCCATTTAACAGTCATGCAAAGATGACAGGGGTATAAGTATAGGTCACAGACAAGAAAATGTCTCCAGCTTCTGCACTTTGGATATGAACACCTAAAATTTTGATGTACACAGAGACAATGCACCTATTAGTAAACAGAAAAATGTTCACTAATATTGTCAAATACTCTAAACTTAATAGTTCATTAAAATGTGTAAAGCTAAATTGAAGGAAATTTCCCTAAAACTAAAAAGAGGGCTCACACCAGCTGAAACAGACTGGTGTGACTTGTAGGCTGCCAATGGAGGTTTCAAGGGACATCTGTATAACTGAGGGCCCAGTGACTCTCAGGCAGAGGTGTAAGGTCAGCAAATATCACATGAAACCCCCATGTTTAAAACAGGATTTTACAAAGAGAATATACAACAGTAAATACTTTTGGAAAATTACTCACTTTCTTTCTTCCAGCAGCGCAATTTCTTTCTTGACCTCATGGTACTCTTCTGCTATTTTGCAGTGCTGTTTGTACACCTGCATAGATTCTTTGGAGTCGTGACAAGGAGGCAGTGGCTTTAAGAACAGAAGAAAAAGAAGAAGAAGAAAATAGTGCTTTTGAATGAAATTTTTGGAAAAAAACATACACTTTGAAAGATCCAATAATTATCTTAATTCCTGTGAGAATACTTAGAGAAATTTCCCCTCACCTCACAACTGCAGGATACAGACAAATATTCCTAGTGATTGCCTTTCATGGAGGGGAAAGAACACTTCCCCACATAAAAATATGTATAAACCCTCAAACCTTGTAAGGATTTTCAGGACTTCCCTTGTCAACTTTGCAAAGTATCCCAAAAGATTGTTCAAAGAAAGATTTCTCCCTTAGTTTTTCAGCTACAGTGATATAAGATTGCTAAAGTTGATGCACTGATCAGACCCATGAAAAAATATGTATGTGTTTTCACTGCAGAAACTGCAGCACTGAGTAGAAGGGTAATTTGAGTGCAAACAAGCTCTTATTCTCCAATTCTGCAAGATGGCAAGAAAAGACTTGGAAAGCTATTGACTAAACACTCTTTTTTTCATAGATGCAATGCTTATTCCACTTTATTACTAAACAGGACAGGACCATGAACTGGGACACTGGGGCTGATTCCGCTTGACTCAACAGGAGTTACACTGCTGACTCCAGTGGAGCCAGGATTTCATGATGGGTTCTACCCCAGTAATGCCTCAAGCTGCAAGTAGTTTGCTCAAGAACATACTGAGTTTCTCTGCATCTTTAATTCCTGTAGAAGAAGGGGATATATTTAGTTAGCAGAAATGTCATGAGAGCTGTATCAGTTATATTTGCAAAGTGTTTTGAATTTCCATAAGAAGTGCAGGTGAGATTGAGTGCAGAAGGATGCATCAACTAAAAAAAAACAACCAAAAAAAACCCAAAACCAAACAGATAAAAAAAGATACAGCAAAGGCAAAAGCTCCACACCTCCTAACCTAAATACCAACATTATTGAAGCAAGATTTTCATTTGTTTTTTTTATAATTCACACTGGAGGTAATAAATATAGCAAATAAACCCTCTCTGTCCTGGGATTTTCATCCAAGGTCTTAAAAATATGGTTTGGTTAAATGTCAGTGCTTTTTGATCCTTAAAAAGGAACCTAATTTAGGTTTCAGGCTTGACTGTCACATTTGGGCTGTAACACTTTCAGGAAGTGTAGTATTTTTAAGTTATTAGCCATGAATCAATTGACTGTAAATGAACTTCAAATAGCATGCTTGAGCCACCTGTCTGAAGCAAAAGGAAGCACTTAAAATAGTTTCTTTACTGTCCAGTTAAATAACATCCAATTGCCTTTTGCAATATAAGTAGATTATGTTTTATTTCTTCTTGTCCTTCTTTGACTCTTCTCTGTAGTGTAATATTCCTTCAATGACACTGTTAGGGAAAGCGCAAGTCTCCAGACTTTTCGTATGTATGATCTTGTAAACATTTGTTTAACTAAACTGGAAATTTAAATTTTACTAAACATATTCAGAGACAAAGATTAAAACTATTTTTATCCAGGAGGCAGGGTAAGTTGGCTTCAGACATATCGTAATGCACAGATGTAACTAATGCATGGACCTTGCAAGTACTTGCAGATAGCATGTGGTTCCTCACCAAAACTTTAACACAAACACTCACTTTCATGTTTGAAATGTGAAATTGCTGTGGCAGAACTGTTTCACAGCGTATTGTTTCATTCTCTCTGAGCTTGGAGATTTTGGGAACCCAGGGAAAGGGCAGTCCATTACTTGATGCATCTGGTCCTTAGGAAAGGGCTTTTAATTGCATTTCAATGTGGATGAGCAATAGCACCATTCACATAGCCGCCCAAATAATAAGCATAAATTTAACAAGACAGAATATAGAAGTCTCAGTGCTCTAATCCAAGAATGCAAGGGTGAGCCAAAGTAGCATCTCTGGTATCTACCACAGATCAGCAAACAACGAATGCGTCACAATAAAACGATTTTGAACAGTAAGCCTGGGGAAAGTCCCCAAATAGTGATATTTCAAAAGAAAAAAAAAAAAAAATCTTGCTTTTGCTTCCAACTCAGTTTCCGCATATCTAGCTGGTTTAAACCAGTTTAAAAATTCAAGCAGCATTCAATTTCTATATTCCAGCTTCCCACTCAAATGATATATATAGAGAGCTAAAAATTATCTAGCCATGCTGAGACTTAGTATCTAATTCCCACTTAGACCAGTTGCTGACTTTCAAACCCCTTCCTATCATTATTCCCTCTTCAGTGTCTTTTTTTCACACGTTGATATTTTATCACTCAAAATAAACTGACAACAAAAGATACAATCAGTTTACTAATATTCTGTTCATAAAATTCTCTATATCAAGATTTTTTTTTTAATTTGGGTGTATTTTTACATCAAAATGTAATTTTGATTATGTTTCTGTACGACTGGGCAATTTGGTTTGCTACTTTTTAATTTTGAAATTTCTAAGAAAAGCTTTGAAGATAGTACCTACAGTTTGAGTAATTTCTGGCCAGCAGAACATGGAACAGGCTTATATATTCATTATTTAGCAAATACCTTCACTGCAATTGCAAGAAAAAGAGATAGAAATCTGGTCGCTTCTTTGCTGCTCACCAAAAAATTCAAGCCAACACAAAAGCACAGATAAATTATTTTACCCATGTCTAATAGCCTATTTTTTTGACATAAACAAAAGTGCAAATAATTAATGATACATCTGTTCCCACTAAGAGAAGCATTTTCAGAAGACAGCAGGGCAAACTCCTGAAGAACAAATTCAGGAACAGAGGCAAAACTTATTTTTGTTTTTATTTTTTGCTTGTTGGACGGGTAACTCCAACTGGCCAGCAGACATTTAGAGAATTAGCATATTTCCACAGAAAAGAAAATAGTAACAGAATAGTAACAATTACTGGACTAACCTATATCATCTAAATGCAAATGGGAGAAACCTGCAAAAACAGCAAGTCTGGTCCCCTGTTATCGGAAGCATATCTTGCCATTCACACACTTGCCCAGTTCTTAGAAAAACTGAAGTCCCCTGCCCAGTTGTAAGACTGGCCCAGAGCCTCACCAAGAATTACAAGCATTTTCATCATTTCCAGTTTGGGTTTCCTGAAATAGGTTTGTATTATACCAGCACTAAATTTCATTCAAATGGTGCCAGCACTATATTTCATTCAAGTGTTTTTATTGTGCCAACACTGTATTTCATTCAAACGGTGCGTCTTTGTCCTATGTGTTTTACCACTGAGATGTACTTACAGAGAGTTCTCATATACTTTCCAAGACCTGTGTCTTGGCAAAGCTGCACTCCTCTAAGCATCCTAGATGAAATTTCTATTCCCCTTAGCTTATCCAAACAGTCTTTCTCTGATCCCCATTCATAGAATCATAGAATTATAGAATCAACTAGGTTGGCAAAGATCTTTAAGGTTATCAAGTCCAACCATGACTGACAAGTCCACCACTAAACCATGTCACTAACAGCTTCATCTACATGGTTTTTAAACACTTCCAGGGACAATGATTCCACCACTTCCCCGGGCACCCTGTGTCAATGCCTGATCACTCTTTCTGTGAAGAAATTTTTCCTAATATCCAATCTAAACCTCCCTGGCACAGCTTGAAGCTGTTTCCTATTGTCTGTTGTTTGTTTCTTGGGAGAAGAGATCGAAACCCGCTTCACTACAACTTCCTTTCAGGTAGATGTATAGAGCAATAAGGTCCCCCTAAGCCTTCTCTTCTTCAGACTAAACAATCCCAGTTCCCTCAGTTGTTCCTCATCACGCTTGTGCTCCAGACCCTTCACCAGATCAGTTGACCTTTTCTGGACCTGCCCCAGCAACTTCCATTCTACCTGGAATGATTTTTCTGAATGCCTGTGGCCAGGCCATGGGAAGTGTTGCAGATGCTACCCTGATGGCATTCCTGTGACAGATAACTGGAATTCCCAGCAGAAAGCATTTTTCATCTATGAAGTCTGTAATTTATTTATTTTTTTTTGAGTTCACTAGTTTATCGAGGTGACTAATTACAAAAGTCCTTAATAAAGTTCAATTTGCAGTATATATTTTTTTCACTCAGGAGCTAACAGCCTTGCTTACATTTCTCCTTAGGACAGCCCAAGCTTGTTACTTCATGAAGTATCTTGCCCATCCATAAATTAATATATATAAAAGCATACCTGCTACATAAGCAAAAAACACCCCTGCCGAAGAAAGTTATATTTAATGGTAACAGTTGCTACTTCTAATCCTGCTTATTTCAGGCTTCACTGTCATCCACCCTCATTTTCCTGTGCTGACAAAATATGCACACACAGCATCTCTGATTTTGTTCACCAAGTTAGTAAAAAAGCTACAGCTTTCAGTCACACTGGTGTTCTATACTACTATTCCCAATTTTCAACAACGCCTGATTACTCCTTGTATTTTGTTGAATAATTCACTATGACATTGACAACCATTCTACAGAATCCAGCAAGTAGACACTAAGAGATCCTGTTATAGGCTATTCATAACTGCACATATCTATGTACATCTTTACAAGACATATGCGTGGTTTATTTAGATTTTTGTTTGGAATCCAGGTATGAAAGATGTGGGAAGATGATATGCAAAGGCAGTTCATGAAGAACTAGAAAGAGCCTGAGCAGTTCTGCCTGTTTCTTAAGAAAGGCTGAAGGAGCTGTTCTAATTAAATTTTTGTTGGGGGATACAAAATGAGAGTTATCACCAATTTTTTTTGCTTCACCACTCCCACGACAAAGTGTGTTTTGCCTTGCCATATGAATATCAGCATTACATGTCCACAGAAGTTGTATAGTTGATAGTGTCACCCAAGTGTTTAAAAACTCTGATATGGTTTATTTTTTTAATTCACCTTCACCTGTTTGCATTTACATTTTGGTTGTACCATGGGGAAAGAAAAAACTCAAACTTTCTCCTGAAAAGGTTAAAGTTCAAAGAAAAAGTTGCATCATGCAGTTTTTACAGCTGAGCATGTGGACTCATTTCAAAGACCGCCTTCAGCACTGGTCTCACTTTTTGTAAGTCTGGTGATTTTCAGTTAGACTAGTCTGGAAAACCAGAAAGTTCAGTGCCAATATTTTGCATGTGGCCTATGTTCATTACATGGCCTCATATACTCTTCCATGATGAAAAAAACCACATTATTCCAAGCCAAAGTTATAGCTGTATATTGCAGCTACTTTTTGTTGTGCAACAGGAATTCTTCAACTAGTTTTAGGTATCTAGTCTAGGATATATTTAGTCTAGTCTAGTTTTACCATGAAAGTAAGCAGTTCTCTTTCCTCAATGAAAGTCAACTGGATGTGAGAAACTAACAGTTTTGCTCTACTTTTTTGAGAGATTTTCCATTCTTTTCTAACCTTAGTGTGATGCTTTTACTTTGTAAATATTCATGTCTTACATAATCTAATTTAAGATCACAGTTATCACAGCAGCATTACAGGAGACTTATCAAGTTCATAGGAAATCAAATCTAATTATAGAGCACCACAGTACTCTGGGAATTCTCTTGTAATTTAATACATATTTAAAAAATACAGTATACTCTTTAAAAACAGAATATACTTTCAAACTTTCTAAGCTAATTTGTATGCATATAGCAAGAATCCTGGCATTCAGTAGAAGCAACAGTTCCATTATTAAAGTTTCAGAGTAAACAAGGTTTCTGCTAAATGCTTGTATCACACACAATAAATTGTCCCTTTCATAATCTTTTCCTTGCTTCTTTTGTATAGATATTTCCCACTAAAGCATCAAAAACTACCCCTTGACTTAACAAACTGATATTATAAATGGCTGGAGCCTTTTCTCTGTTGCAGCAATTTTACAGCCACCTAACCCCACTGACCTCAACAGAATCGTAATACAAAATATGACAGAAAGGCCTCTCTCAATCTCATGATTCCATGAGAAGAGATGACAAAGAACTACAGACCACCCTGTGCATCCATACGTGACTTGTGCTCTTCCCTCTTCAGGATCAAACTCCCAGCTGGAATAAAGACTTTGGTGGAGATGAACTGAGCAAGTCATAGGAAATGCTGGAACAGCACGGCATACAGGGCATAGTAATATGGGTGTTTTAACACTAGGTACCTTCCTCTATATTCAGTGACATAAACAGTGAGCTTTAGATGCTGATGTAGGTGTCTAAATATAGTAGATAACCCGTAGTAGAGTGTCTGTTACAGGGGCCACCACTGACTATGCAGCTAATCAAGGAAGCGCTTTCCAATGCCCAGTCTTACTTTTGCACAAGGCAAAGGTTAAGGTTTCCCAATAACAAACTGACAAATGTAGCAAGCCTACCCGCCCTGCACCACCCACCACACTGCTCAAACAAGGATGGGGAGAAATGACACTGAAGCCCAAATATGCAAGTGTTTTAATCTCATTCAAAGTATTTCTTGTCAGTGGAAAGAGAATAATTTCCAATACTGCAAACAAAAGGAATTGAAAGCAAGAAGTTTATTAATATGAGCATTGCTTCACTGGTAGCATATAATGAACAACTTCATGGAGTTTTTTTAATAATAAAGCTGCAGAAGAGACCAGGCTTTTCCCTCATATAGCTTAAACTGTCTGGTTGACCACGCATTAATTTTTAAATAAAAATAAAATAGAACAAAACAAAACAAACAAACAAACAAAAACAACCCAGCAAACAAACCAAAAGCAAATTTTTGGAGTTAGCGAATTGATATTACTTTCTTACAAATTGCTTATTGGAATTTCTTCCTCTCAGAGTAGTAGAAAAATGTTAACATTCGAAAAGGTAGTTGGAGAAGACAACATTTTGGTCTGAACCTAGCTAGTAGATCAGAACACTAGACTGATCATTTTTATGCTTCAGCAAGAAGCTGTAACTTCCAACCAGGATTGTCCTCCAGTAAGAGACTTTATAAAAGAATTAGCTATTTGTAGCTAGCCTCCTAGAAATACCTTTTCTCTGGCCAGTCCTACCTTTGCCTCTATAAAGTTGGCACTGGCGCTTAGACAGCAGGCTTCACTACCCTGTCAGGGGGAGGCTTCACTGAACTTTGCCCTGCCATCGGATACCAGTGCCCAGGGAGTAGGTATGGTAGGAACGTGGTAGGAAAAGTGGGAACACTAGGTAATTCTGCTCAAACAGCCAAGTTGTCTGCCAGAGCCTAACATAGGAGGACAAGGGCTTGAAACCTAAAACAGAGGTGCAAATTGCTTGGTACTCAGGCTGTGGTCTGCTGCCTGCATACATAAAATTCTAAGGCTCTGATTTTCCAAGTCCCTCAGTGAATGCACATAGCTTTCAAGCTACTTTCAAAACCCAACCTAAAGGCAGGCTTTTTAGTTTGCTTGTTTTGTTTTAAATCATGTTTCAAAAATTTCCTTTGTATGTTTGAAACCTGGAATTTATATTTTTTTTCTTTTTATGTCTATTATTATATAGCTACCTACCCCACACTTACAGTTTGTTACTTTAAATAAATTATGAATGCTTTTGACTACATTTATGGTACAGTGATGAAAATCTTGTGATTCTAGATGTCATATTTCTATTACAAAAATATGTACCATCATTCTTACAAATTCAAGCATTTCAGGCTGCTATGCCACAATTGATTAAAGGGCTCATTTAGATGGCACTTCATGTATGCTACTTTATACTGGCTAACTTTGGGACAGAGAAAGACATGGGAAGAATGACAAGGGAAGCCCATGTTGTAGTTTGCTTCTGTAATACAAGAGGTACCTGTTTCAAAGCTGGTGTGGCTACGTTAACATAAATTGAAACTATATGCTATACTGGGCTGACGCAAAGTTAGCAGTTTGGATTAAAAAAAAAAATTAAATAATAAATTTAATAAATAAATTAAAAAATAAGAAAATGTAACTAGGCAAATCCTAATTTTGTTTACAGTTATTGCTTGTTCAAAATTTTAAAATATAATGTAATTACATTAAATTGTTACAAATTTAAGCTGTGACCCAGACTGACAAAACTTAAAAAAATTCAAGTTTTCATTGCTAAAGCTACCTCTGCACCAGCTCAGAACCCTACATTGACTTAACTGTCTCTGGTTGAACATAAAGGCATCTAAACCTAAATATGCAAATAAGCTTGAAAGCTAAAAAATGAAGCACTACCACTAATTTTATACTTTTGAGTGGTTGAGTCAGCCAGATAGTTGTCTTAAGTTATCCTTTCAACTACCTCAGTATTACCAAAAAATGTTTCTGAAGGATAATATAAAGAACATTATCTGAATCAAAGCCTTTGACTGTTTGTTTGAATTTGGAATCATACTGATATGAGAATAAAGGAAGGTTCTCTTGAAAAAAAAGTCAGGCACTTAACAGACAAGAGTGTACTTTGTGGAACTGCCGTAGTGCATACTTCAAAAACTGTGAAATAATGGCTATTATTTATCCAGCAGAGCTGAATGATTCCAGAGGAGCAATTTATCATGAAATTGCACATTTAGAGTACATTATATGTTGCAGAGATGGGTCATAAAAGTCCTAATAAAAAAAATCATCACTTGGCCTGTAAAGTAAACTACATCTAACACTAGTAATCTTGTTTTTATATACCAATAGCAGTAATGAAATCATACTTTTCTCTTTTAGAGCACTCTTCACCCACTGAACTCAATGCTCTTTAACAAAAAAGATAAAAATTATTAACTTCATTTCAGAGATGAGGAGAGGCATGAAGCAACTCCTCTAGGATCACACAGTGCGTCACTGACAGAATTGGAAACAGAATGCAGGTTCTTTCAGTTCAGTGCTTCAGCCACAAAACAATATTGCTTTTCTCAAATTTAATGCTTCTGAGGGAAAAAGAGTATCAATCTGCATTGCTGCACTGAAAGATTAGTGGAATTAAAAGAACAACATACGACCTTGTTCCTTTCAGGCCAGATCTTAGGTTGCTATTTATTCCTTTAATCTTTCCTAATTACACCTAAGGAACTTGCCCCTATTCTCAGTATTAGAGGGATAGAGCAAGAAGACTCTATGTCAGCCTCCATTTCTTCCTCAGTCATCCTTTTGATGAGAGCCACAGGAGAGATGTCAGTCCTTTAAATCAGCAGCCCTCCAGTGTTGTCTCATGAGTTGATGAGGACAGGAAGGATGACATTATTGGACAACACCGTCTGCTAATGCCGTTCTCAGTTTACACTCAGGAAACAACTGTGTTCATATTGAAATATTAGAGGAAGTCTAAATGCTCCTGGGAAACAGATGATTTGAAGTAGTTTACAAAAGCCAACAAGCACTCCAGAACCGCCACAGAGGAAAGGGAAATAATCCCTGGATACAGAACTGGCTCTGTGCCTAGTGAACCATAGAGTTGCCATCAACTGCCATCTGATTGTCCTGTATACCCAGGCTCTATTGTCCTACAGTGACAAATCGGACTGTTCACAAAGAGATTCACCACTTTTATCCAGTGCTGTCTGCAGACACTTGCTAGAGCAACAGTTCGGGTTGCTGGCTATGCAGCATGAACTAAAGTAACTTTGAGAAGACACTTACCGATCCTGATGACTGGCTTTAGTCACCCAAGATTAGAGATAAGCACTACAAAAGGCACCTTTGCACTCTCTTGGAGTGCTTCAGAGAAAGCTAGTCACACCAGTCTTAGCCCAGTCTGTAGGCATGAGAAGTAGGCTCATTCCTTCTCCCATCAAAACCACAAGAACTTTCACTGCATTACAGCAGTACCTGCTGTGTTTTATACAGGAATTGTACAAAAAAATTAAAAGGCAGGTGAGAATGTTAAAATAGTCATCTCCCTACAATTGGATTAAAAATGTCATATAAATTGTTCTGCAGATCTTGAAAGGACAATGTTTTTTTCTGTGGAAATATACAGTCTTATTAAATATTAACAGGTTAGAGAAGCACCACTTTCACTCTACTGTAGCAACCAGAGGTTTTTTATCATAACAAATATAGTGAATGTGACGAACTGTAGTGAAAAGGTTTACCTGCAGCTGCTGATCTAGTTCTGGAAATGTCAGAGGGAAGTTTTCAGAGGAAGCATCATCTAAAAGGTAAACATGATGTTAAAAGTCAATGTCTGCTGAAAAGGGCATTTCACATGACCTGTCTAATGCTGTTCTACATTGCATGTATTCACAATAATACTGTGATCCTGCAAACACCTCAGCATCTGCTTATCTTTCTACACTAGAGATACCCCAATAGGCTCCTTGAAAGTACTAATGCGTTGGCAATAAGTAAATGTTTAGGTGATGGAAAGACAAAAGCCTACTTTGTATTGCTGTCATTAAAACCTAAACAAAGCCAGTTAACACAGTAGAACGTGATAACTTAGTAAGAAAAATGAATCTAAACAAAGAGTCTTTCTTCCTGAGCTTTCTATTACATTGCAAAGTAAAGAATCTTCTAGGGACATCATCCTTATTACCAAAGTGCTCATTCACTTGAATGAAGGGAAAGATATCTTCCCCATTACAATACAATGACTTACCAGGGCTAACCCAACAGTAACAGAAAACTTTTCTCTTACTACACAAAGGCAACCCCAAGAACACACAAACCAGCCTGGCAACCCTGGAACTAGAAGACTGCTACCTATACAGATGTGATCAGAATGGGGGAGGCACCACAAACTTCTCTGTACTGCAAAGGAATGTCTTTAACCTGTAGATAACAATCCTTATGAGCTAGAGTTAGTTGATTCATGACAACAGACCAATCTGTGTTTTTATTTATTTCTTTATTTTTAGTACAGGCTTCCAGCAAAGGTGGGACAGACTGTGCCAGTTACATCAGTGTTGTGAAGTGGACACCTGCCCACTAGTAGCTGGACTGAGATCAGAAATATGAATCATACTCGGTGGCGTCACAGCTAGCCACTGCAATATTTCTTTCTCAGTGACTTTCACACTATCGGTTTTGCACTGGGTTGTGATGACTGTTTATGCATCTTACTACAGGTTACGGGAGGCCAAGAGAAGGTTACTATTAGCAAGCTTACTACAGTTATTTGTAATGTGTCAGAATTAAATAAGGATGGCTCTCATAGGAGAAAATTGCTAACATAGGTCAGATCCTGCAACCTGCTCTGTGCTGGCAGATTTACACACACCAATAAACCCCGAACAAGATTAAGATTACCATGTCTCAAAGCAGGATTCTGCATATTCTTAGAGAATACAAACTAGGATTTAAATTATCTGTCAAATACTTGTTTTCTGTTTTTCCTCCCCTCAGTGGTCATACAGCAAAGCAGGTTAGGACAAAAAGTAAAATAATTCACCTTACCCTATGAAGAATAAACTGGGGAGCTGCCTAGAGAAGAAAAAAAACCCTATAGTGATACAGAGGGAGAAAACAAAAGCTCTTGAATTTCCCCAGGAAACAAAGTGAAATTCTATATTGTCACGGGATAGAGGTTTTGCTAGTATTATCAAGAAGTCATACCCACTTCCACACACTTCATTTTTTATGCCATGTCACAAACATGTCCATTCTGGAAAATACTTTAATTGTTTTAATTGTATAGAATTGTAACACACTGATATGTGTTTACCTTTAATTTGCTATTGCTTTCTTCACAAAATTCAAAAATAGACTAATATTCTAAAAGAAGAAAGATGAATCATATGGCAAGGTTAAAAGGAAGGATGGAATAGGGCTCAGTCTGACTAAGGGTACAGCTGCTCTACAAATATTTGGCTGAATAGCTGTTAAATATTCTGACAGAGATATTGGACCAGAGTTGTGTCCACAGCAGCTAAGCTGCTATTTGTTTTGACAATTCCAGAAGTACAGTCTTCGGTACAGTAGCTTTAAGGAGGGACCTCAAACATTTTTAACATAAGAAAAACAAAGCAAAAACAACTTCAAAAACTGTAACGAAATATCAGCCAGCAATTAGCTTTTCACTGCACTGGATATTAACAAGAAATCAAAATTAATACAGTGTCGGAATATTAAAAATATATTGGATTATCTTAGGAAGAAAACCAGTAAGAGAAATGTTTGGAAATACTTTTGAAAGGATGGGATGGAAACAGAAATTACTATAGAGGAAATCCTTTCAATAAACAGATGTTCCCTTCTTATTTTTTGAGCTCCAAGTGACTGAGTCAATGGTACTAAAAATAGAACATATTGGTATCCTAACCATTATGACATACCATAGTACATTTTATAATGGGCCTGCCCTAGCATCCATTGAACAGCTGCTAGAGGTTTTTTTTTTAGTTATGCTAGTTTAAAACTTGTTTAAATCATCGTCTGATGTGTAGAACATCATCAAGAAAAGTCGAGGACTTCAGTGGTTTGAAATTTTTTTGAGTTCCTAATTCTCTTAGGCTACTCTGAAATTTTCAGCTGAAATATTTAGCTTACAAAAACTAACAAATTCTCAAAACTAACTGTAATCTTGCTTTCCCCAAAAAGAAAAACTTTCAGTGAAAATAAATTACTGCATGAGGTCAGTCTGGATTTCACTGTAGTCAAAGTAACAACCACAACAATAAAAGCAAAAATCACTTGGTAAAACATAAACATGTTTATATATCACACAAGGGGAAAGCAAATTACAGCTGTCATTCACCTCCTAAAACTTTATTGAGGATATTTTCAGAAAGTCAAGAGGAAAGATACAAAGTCTTGCATTTTCCCCTAAAAGTCATTATTGCCCTTACAAGCTTGAACACTGGATGTTATGCAGGGGATTGGATGAAACCACACTGGCTTCCAGCCTTAAAAAAACTATGACTCTGAAAATCAGAAACACTGAAAATGCCTGAAATATCAAAGAAGATCTTCTAAAGATCAAAACACTCTCATAATTATCTCTTCATCTTTCTATATTTGTTCTTTTCTATTCTACATCTCCTTAGACAACAGAATTTAGAAATAGCTCTTTTTCTCCTTCTTCAATTTATTAGCAGTATTTAATGAGTTGATTGTTATAAGGAATCACTGACATAATCAAAGACTCCCTTTATAATAAAGTTAGTGGCTTTTCTGTTTCACAATACTCTGAAAATAACTAGGCTGATTCTTCACCTGATACAAAAAGCAACAAGCTCCTGCTGTCACTATTTTACTGCTCCCTTCTCTGTCACTCATAAAGAAAAATGATTCAAGATAATTGTTGAAAACATATTTTGTTTAAAAATAAAAATATAAAAAATTCAGAGACTACAATTTGCTGCAACTGAAAATGAATCAAGGTTCTGGTCACAAGAAAAAAAGAAAGGAGGAAGAACATACACGTGAATGTTATGGCCATCCAAGCAAAGAGCACTAACATATGATGTGAAAGAGATCAGGGATGTCATTGCAACCACCTAAGTCAAAGTTATCTGATGCTTAATTTCCGAGTAGCACTTCCTGATTTCCCATAGATCCTGAAACTAATTTGAAATATAGAAGTATATTAAAGTACCTGTACCCCAATTACACGATGAACTCTGTATATACAGTTTTTTAACTAAAGGCTTGGTTCATGTGTATGGGATACGGTTTGGGTTTTATGTTTGTTTCATCAGGTTCATTCATCTATTTTGCTTGTTCCTGAAGTCTGTCATTATAACAGAGAGCATCTGAGGGAGGGTCTCCAGGGAAATTACTTCCTCCTTTTGCTTTCCATCAGCTGGGCTCAGACAAAGTATCCTCCTGTGTCAGAGCCAGCTCTCTGACCATTCCTACATCAAAACTAACACCACAACAAAATAACAAGCTCCCTAAGCATGCTGCCCAGTCAACTCTCCTTCATGCTTAAATGGTGTGATGGGCACCTTTGTGTAAGGGCAGCAATGTTAGGCTGCTCAATTTTCACTGTCATAGAATCATAGAATTATTTAGGTTGAAAAAAGACCTTTAAAATCATCAAGTCCAACCGTTAACCCAGCACTGCCAAGTCCACCACTAAACCATGTCTAAGCTCCTCAAGTCTTTTAAATAGTTCTGGGAATGGTGACTCAACCACTTCCCTGGGCAGCCTGTTCCAACACTTGACAACCTTTTTGGTGAACACATTTTTCTTAATATCCAATCTAAACCTGCCCTGGCACAGCTTGAGGTCATTTGCTCTTGACCTATCACTTGTTACTTTGGAGAAGAGACTGACACCACCCTCGCTACAACCTCCTTTCAGGCAGCTGTAGAGAGCGACAAGGTCTTCCCTGAGCCTCCTCCCTGAAAATGAATGTTACCCACCTTTGCAACCAATACCAGCCCATTCATTTCCTACCATAACATCTTAACAAGACTCTTCTGCCCATCCAAGTGACTCCTTTTTGTCTCTTTTCATTGCCTCCTCTCTATCTGGGGATGGAGCTGTGTGGGCCACTGGGTGTGCTCTTTGAGGAGCAATCTACTGCCCAGGTAAGTTCTCTCTGCTGACAGTATCTATTAATACAAAAGAGAGGTGGGTTTCTAATGTATAGTACAGAGATCCACACAAGCCATCTGATTTAGAGGACTGTACTGTATTAATACTGACTGTCTTCATTGAAAAGGCTTACTACTTTTCAGTGATGCCCTGATGCATTCAATCCCCTGGTATATGCTAATGTACATTTGAGAATGAATCACACTTTCTGGAAAGCTTCACTTATTCAATCATGTTCTGGCCTCTGGAGATTCCAATAGCCCAGACCTCCACCACATAAACGAACGAGTAAAATCCCTCACACTTTGCTGACTAACACAATGTCTGGTACAATTAAGTGTAACACCCCAGTCTCTTCCTATATGGCTGCTCTATTTAGCTGAGCTGTGGGATACAGGCAATAGTTAATAAATACTTTAAGAACAACAGCTGATTTACTTGCAGTATAAACCTGCGAATTACATTTTCTCAAGGATCTTCACAAAGACAGAAATAGAACATAAAAATTTAAATGTGTTGAAAGCATATTAAGGTTGCTAAATCAAGCACTCAAAATTTAGGAAATGCCAATGACAGCTCTGCTTCCTTGAGTAACTGAGTTATGATCCAGTCTTTAATTATACAATCAGGTACTATTTTTTTCTCCTACATGCGTGGGTAAGTGTATTCAGATCTCTTCCTCCTAAATTAAAGAATTAAATTAGTAACATAAGTAGGCTGTTATCCTGTAAGTGGATCAGCTATTACACAGGGCAAGTGCCCAAACTCAACTGCAAGTACTGCAAATCACAGTGGAACAACACTATCAAACTGTGTACTGGGGTCCATTCTTGGCCTTAGGAGGACAGTGAGATCCAGAAGCTCCAGTCTAGTTACTGACAGACAAGCATAGACTCATTGAATTCATCCTGGAAGGCTGTGTGGCTAAGTGACTGCGACTTGGCACTGCTGAGTGAAGCTCCCAGGCTTCTATTCACAGCCCTGCCTAACATGACCTTACACAACCTCACAGTTACCTCACTCGTAAAATAGTGGGGAATGGTCACTGCTTGACTAGGAACAGGCTATGAAGGCTTGCTCAGTAATAAGAGTTGTGGACCTTCTCAAAATAGAAATGCCCATAACAGAAGATACAAGAGCAAAACCCTGCTACTACACATACCTTTACCTAAGCCTAAAGCATCGTCTGCTGAATGCGCAGCCACTTTCCCTTTGAGGGTATCTCACTTAAGTTCCTGTCTAATTTCCCAAAGATCAAGCCACTTACTTATAGGCTGGGTGTAGTTTTAGGAAACTAGCTTTTCACGTTTTAGCCACATATTTTAGCAATCCCCACTGGTTGTCAGCCAGTATCTTATCTACTGGAAAGCCTCTGTTGCCATTACAACCAAAACGAGGATGGAAGAGGGATTTGAAGGTTGCTATTGAAGAAGTAACTATTGCAAAAGAGTCTTGCATGATCAACTGTAAAAGCAAAAAATTCTTCATGGTCACTAGGATAACAAAGGCATAAAGAGGAGTAAAGTAAGTAATTTGCTATGCTTGCAAAAATATTTCATTGTTCCACTGTCTGCAGTTTCATTAGAAGATGTATGCTTTGCCTTTGTTATCAGTGATTTTTCTGGAGAGTGCTATCAGAGGTAGATTAATCTCAAACAAAAGATATTACTTATCACCACATGTCATTAGCAGAACTTTTCATCTAGAGTCAAGCTTTTATTCTAGGAGGGAAAGTGAAGAGATGTTTGCCTATAAACCTTCCTTTAGAACTATTACACAAAAAAAAAATCCACTTCTCTAAAATGAATAAAGTTCCTGTTATAATCATTGCATCTTAATATGTTCAGTAAATAAGTCAGTGATATAAATTAGGACACACTGAATTTGTTGAATTAAATTGATTTTGATAAATGGCAATGAATTTTCTATTTGGGAAAACATTCAAATTTCAGAACACCAAGTTCAGTTTAACTTGCATTAGTTTTCCACTGATATAAGGTAGGCTGAAATAATAGTATTGAAATTCATTAAATTAGAATGGTACCTTAAGTCAAACTGGTGCAATACAGTGTGCAGACACACCCTGAGAAACCTATGTTTGATGCCAGTTTAGTGAACCTGAGTAAAAGAGCCAAACATAAATAGCTATATATACTTGAATAAGAGATACACAATAAAACTGTCTTCTTATATAGCACCCTCTCATGGGCTGCTCCTGAGACTTTTAAGGAACTGGTTACCCTACTTCCACATTAAAAATCCTGCTCAAAGTTGGCCAGGATTTCAGTCATCAGATATTGACTGGCAAATAATATAACACAATTAAATTATTTCTTTTATACTCAGGATAAGCCAGCTTCAGTCTTGTAGGTCAGTTAACACAAACTAATCTCTTCTCATGAGTTGAGAGCAGTTTCTCCTTTTGCTGCTCCTCACACCCAGTGCTTGGTTACAATCCTAGCCAGTGAGATAATCAGCACCCAGAAGAAACATTCCATTTCCCCTTTTTATATCCAGTTATGCTGCCAGTTCCTCCTCGTAAGCAGTTGTACAGCCCCCGGAAGGAGAATGCAAGCCTTTCTTGGTGAATCTGTTACTGTGCCCTTCAAGTGAGGTAGAATTTAAGGAAAAGCGTAAGTCAGATAGATTGCCTCACCACTTAGCCCTGGTGAAGAACATTTTGTATATAAAGCAGTACACAAGCTTTAACTGATGATTTACCATCACACTTGCAGCAGGTAACTCCTGTTTGAACTGAAAACAAGCTGTCAAGGAGAAATAAAAGATTAAATATAAAAAAATAAGGAGAAAAAACCAAGAAGAACAACAAAAAAATACAAGCCAAATATTGAATACTTAAAGGTCTATCTGTAAAATGGTTTTGTAGCTCATCTTGAAAAATAAAGTGTTAAATACTTATTTATACTTTCTTGATTCAACGATGGTTTGCTGGAAATTTTCAAAGCTGGTAAAAGTTTTTTTCCTTTGCCTTCTTTAGATATATCAAATGTAATAACCAAGTTCAGGCTTACTGTTAAGAGCAAGAACAGAATTTTTCTGTCATGGTAAAACAGTATGCTGTTTTAGACCTCCTGACAGAACCCAAGGGGATGTGATACAGAGGAGCTGGCCCTCACTTTACTGGCTGCTGTTTAGTTTCCTCAGTACTCACACAGATTCTGGATTGCATACTGCAGGAACACTTGTATATATACAATAAAGGCCTCAAAATATGGAAAAGTTTAACCAAACTGTAGCAGAAAAAGATTAGCTTTCTGTATTTTAGTTTATTTCTCTAAATGTTTAAAGAAAGGCTGTAATTATTAGCAGGATAGAAAAGTAAAAAATAAAATATGATGCAATGTTAAGGAAGCTAGGCTTCCTGCCTTTCATGTCGTCTTCTTCCAAGCTATTCACAACCTTGTCATTTCCTACCGCCATCTCTTGTCACAAATCACCCTGCCCTCTTTGATTTTCCCATGGTCTCAGCTTTCCCTGACTTGTTTTCAGTATCTTACATAAGCATTCTTTTTCCATAATTTGTAACAGCACTCCCCTTTCTTTTACATCTCTCTTAAAGACCTATTTTTGTCACAATTCCTGTGAGAAATTTGCCATGTTACTATGTCTTGAAATATAAGAATGATTCCTTATTACTTTCTATAATAAAATGTAATTACAAAATTATTTTAATTTACAAAAAATGGGCACACAGCCACAAGTACTCTTGAGCTGAAACTGATGTGCAGCAATATATAAAGATATTTGGGTTTAGATTGTCTTGCTTAGGGAATAAGATCCTGTTTCAGGCTTCTAGCTGCAAATTAATATTACATAACAACTATCTAGGAAAGATAATGCATATTCTAAAATACTTGTAAAATGAGAGAACTGTATTCAAATTGAGACTATTCATACAAAGCTCAGGAAGCAGCCTCACAATTATCCTGCAATGCATACCCTCCCATAAAGCACTCATCAGCAATAAGTTTCAGTTGGGGTTGTCAAAGATCCTTATATGTCATGCCATAAATGCATCCCAACCCTGGGTCCACGCACCCACCTTTAGCAACAGCACAGGCAACATTTTTTGGGATGCTTCACAGCTTCCAATTTACTTTATTTCATTCTAACTTTTACTGTTTGGCAACAGCTTCTCTAGACTTCAATAATATTTAAGGTGAAAACTAATAATATCCATCTATTCCAGAGATGAAAGGATCCATGTATGTACAGGGTATGTTTGGGGAAATTAATACTCCATCAGCACTAGCTGACAGGATAAGCATCAATGAAATCTCTCATGCTTTCTCAGGGCACATGCCATGTGGGGCATCTGTTTCCTGAAACCTTTCATCAAGCTGGGCACATGCAGCACTTTCCAACCTCCCTGCTGAAGGGAAAGTCTCTTTGTGCTCTTAGCATCATCCTCAGTAGAACATGCCATTTTTCTTTTTTTTGTTTTAAAATTCCTTAAAATCAGACATACCGCATATGTAGTTAAATTCGATAGTTAATTACAATCCAAATTATATTACTCAAACTACTGAAAGAAAGCTAAGATCTAAACCATCAGGTTCGTGGGTTTAGTATAATGAAATTGTTAATGGAAACATTAAAAGTTATCAGACAGGAAAACTGATCACATGCTATCACTTAGGAAAAAAATCTATGCGTAACACTGGACTTCATTTGACATTGTAAACACTGGTAAGAACGCATAAAATTTTAAAGCAATCATTTCACTGTGCTTTACTGCATAAATTAAACTGTACCTGGGGATTCATTCAGGCTGAAAGCAATTCGTACTGGTTTATCAGCAGGTACCCTGGCGGTGGTGATCATGTGGGCACTTGAGTCAATGCTTTTACCTGTTTGTTCCAGCTGTAATAATACAAACAATATACTTATTACAGAACACGTTACACCATTCAACAAATGAGGTTTAATGCTTTTCATGCATTCATAGCTATCTTTCTCATTCTAGCTAAGCAATGTTTAGAATCAAAGTCAAGGGAGCGCCATTTCACTTTTCCATTTAAAAAGGATTTAAGTGAAATTCAGTGCTGAGACTGCCTCTCTTTTGCTATTTACAGATTAGAAAGAACGATGGCAAAGGAAGCTTGCCCTCTCCTCACCTGCTTGCTCCCCGCCATTGCCCCTTCAGCAAGCCTTGACTCGTGGCAATGCTGCCTGGTTCTGAAGGTGAAGAAGGAAGAAGGGGTGGGGAGTTGAGAGTAACATGACCCCAAGCCTGCCATGTGATTGGAAACGTGCACACCACTCCACATGGTGTCAATGAGGAGACACCCATCCTCCTACCTTCCACCCATACTCCCCCAGTCAAACTGTGCCTGATAGTCACACACTTAATGGTCAGAAAGTTACTGGGTCTCCAAACCTTGGTGGTGATTCTTCAGTGGAACTCTGTGCAGGTGTAGGGGTCTGTCTGCATGGGTTTGACTCCTGGATCAGGACCTTATTCAGTCCTCAGTCTTTCTTCTGAGACCACCAATCCCAAAAAGTAGTTTTACTGAGATGAAACCCTGTCCATTCAGAAAACTGCTAGTTCATTTCAAGCTGAGCAACAAAAAGAATTGCCGAGCAACAAAAAAATTAGCCACTACTGATCTGTAATGGTATAATTAAAACATCTCTGAACACTCAAACGTTGTACTCAGAGCTCAGTGTACATTTAACCTTTTGACTGGTTTTGGTTAAATTCTATTAAATAGCTAAACGCAAGCTTAATCTCCTTGTATATCTAGCACAAAGCTGCTAAAATTCACAGAGATTAATCTTCTGATTAGCTCCATGTGTGGAGAACAAGAAGTCAGTGGGACATCATGCATGAAAAAGATCTGCCCATAAAGAAATTATTTTAGGACTGAAGACTATGCTATCCAGAGTGCATTGCATCCATACCAACTATGTGGACAGTTATGAGAGTCACTTTCAAATTAAGATAAAAACTCCTCAGTCAATTATAAACCAAATTCTTCAGGAAAATACAATTAATTTACTAAAAGTTGTACCACGTCAATAGACAACGCAGCATTTAGCTAGTGAAAGCAAAAGCCAGTGTCCTAAGCCAACAGCCTTGCAGTTTTTCAGTAAAGTAGGTATTGTACTGTACAGAAATCCAAACAACTCATTCTAATTTACACTTATTTATTTGGCAGTCTCAGAAAGTCAACAGGACAGAACAATATTTCAGGGTTATAGTCTTCCTTGGTGATGCACAAGTGAATCAAACAGTTCCCTGGCATCACTGCCTTGCAATCAGTGGAGGAGTATCAAATTTGCATTTGGCACATTAATTTCAGCATTTCTTTTGTGTTTCCTCTGTCTGTCTTAATATTTAGCTAGCAGAGTGATACGGTTACCCTGTAGCAATGCTACACAATAAATTGTTATTTGAAGTACATAATCCTTTCTTAAAATAACAGCAAATAATCTAAAATGATTACTTCAAATAAATCTTACTTGGAGCTGAGAGTGTCTCCTTCTACTAATACATGAAGGATATCAGGTATTGTTCTTTATTCCCCATTTCTAATAATCAAGACACAAAAATTGAACTCGTATCTATTGGGCAGAGACAAAGAAAAGTCAACTAAACTGCAACAGTGTATGTTTTTGGACTCAGGAAAAGATCCTTGGGTCAACTGAAATATTCCCTTTTGAAATGTATTGCATTAGACTCATAATTTTTACCTTCTGAGCATTATTGATCTCTATTTTTCCCCCCAGACCCTCACTTTATAAGAAACATCTGAGACATCTCATTGTTCTTCAAAAACAACAGAACTACTAATCAAAAATTCATTATATTTCCCTTCCATACCTGCCAGTACAAAGGAAAAAAAAAAGAAAGAAAATAAGAGATTTAAAGTGATAAGCACATCCTTAAAACATGGCTGTTCATCATTCTGTGTTGTTGGTACACAGTCCCCTGTCATCTGCTTACTATCTCAAGTGGTATTCCACATAAGAGTATACTTAACATTTCATATCATAGCCTGAGAAATGAAAATGATGCATTCTACTCAGGTTTTAAATTTGACATAAAATTATTGCTAGGAGCAAATCTGTTTTGTTTTTTTTTTTTATCCCAATCACACACTCTGTGGTCTGTGATGTCTTTAAATTACCTCTTTTAACTATCTAATATATGAGGGCAAAAATCAATACCCCTTAGATACGCAAGGGTGAATTCTATCATAACACAAAAAAGTATTTCCATTTTATTTCAATCCAGAAAAAGAAATCTCATCTTTATATGCAGCAGTTATCCTCCTATCCATTTTTTTTTTGTATTGCATTTATCCCTTCACTCCTTTTTGTGCAGAGTCCTCAAGTTCTTCATCACAAAAAGCAGTCACAGAGAACAGAAAGGGATGGAAGCAGCCTGTGTGCAGACAAAGTGATACAGGAAACACACAGACCAACTGCACCCAGTTCCCCACCTGCTTTCTCCATGTATGAAGAACAATAGCTCTGTAGACAGAGGGTGAGTGGGCAACCTGGAATTTAGTGAGATTTAATGAGCCGCTCTCTTCTTCACAACAATTGCCTATAGAACTGGCTGCTGCTTCTCCATGAAAAACCTGCTGCAGAACTCAGATTAGGTGCTGTTACAGCTCTATCAATTTAGTTCAGTTTTCACACCTGTTGCCTTACCTCACTTAGCGGAGTGTCTGCACTTGTATAATCCAGGGCCAGCCACTGCCTTGGCTTGTCGTTGCCTTTATGGAGTAAAGCTTCAATAAAAGAAAAGGCTGCACCTGCTGCATAGCAACAAACTGACAAGGTCTGAGAAGCTGAGACAGCTGTCAGGGCAACATGCTGCTACCTGCACTTCCCATAGGCTTTGCTGTCCCAAAAGATCACCCTTTTCCGCTTTTCTCCACAATTCCACCTTTCCTTCCTCTCCTTGCCAGTGACGAGGGATTATGATGCTGTCACGCTTCAGTGAAGAAAAAATCCTTCTGTCACAGGCATTATTAAGCAGCAAACTGTGGCGAGCCCAAGATTTTTAATTCATTAGTCCTGGCAAACCTAAAATACAAACAGACTTGCTTCATAGGACAGGAATGTTTTCAGCATGACCCAATCAGTGTCTGTGTCTATTCCAGCAAACTGGCAAAGATAGCATGACTCCAGTCAGCAAAAATGTCTGCAGCTCCAATCAGCTTGGGCTGACACTGCCAACTTGGACAGGCTACAAGCAAACTATCAAATGATAGCAGCAACTATCAAAACTAACAACAAGGGATGGGCTTGGCCCGTTAGGCTGGGTTCATGTTGGCTTTGGTCAAGCCAGGCTTGTCTAATAGCAATGATAGCTCTGCACTTCTGAGGAGGCAACGGGCAAATTTCAGAATGTGTACGCTGTGAAAGCAGATGTATTTATAGATGCATTGGTGATGGCAGTGATAGCTGAAGCTGACTAAATCAGAGATTTGACTGAACTCAGAGGATTTCCTAGTGTGATTTCAGATAGCTTTTGTGAATTTTTTTAAGCCACAGGCAAGCAATTAGTAGATAAATCTTGAAGTATCACAAGAGAGGTTAATTTCTTCAGCTTAAAATTTTATGTTCTGTAGCTGTGTCACACACATGTACTGCCTACATGATTTCTTTGATTGACTGTTAGCACAGTCACTTGAACAAATGGAGAAAACTGGAGAGTTACAGAATGATTACACAGAGTATCTTTATTGTCATGTGCTTGAAAAAGGGTTCTCTTGCTTTTATATTTCAAAATGTGTTTTTAAGGTATATTTTATGTTTTTAAATTCCAAATAGAGGTGTCTCTAACCCAGATCTCCTGTATAGGCACATTGCTAGATTCTCTTGGCTCAGCAAAGACACAGAGACTGCAGGACAAACAGAGACGTGAAGGTCTGAAGTCAAGTTTTCATCCTTCTTCACCCTTTCACCTTCTGGCCCTAGCCCAGGATTGATCTAATCAGTGCAAATCTCAGGAAACCAGCAGTTGCCCTTGTGGCCTCAAAAGACCTTTTCATACTTTGAAATGACTAAACTGCAAAGATATTTTACCCACAGTGCCTTTTCTCCAGCAGTGACCTGGGCAGCTACACCATTAGTTAGGTATCTGGTGAGGCCGTCTTTCTAACTGCAGTGTAATTTCAGGGCAGACTATGGGCTCTCACCCAAAGAGTTTGTGAAAAGCGGGACTGCAATTCTGACTACACTGACCATTTTCTCTTCTGTTGATGTGTTCCTGAAAAGATTGAGGGTTCCTCCCTGTATATCTCCTTTGGAATGACAGGGAAGAGAGATTTGTCTCTGATCACAACCATTATGGCAAATAATGTTCTACAGCTCAATAGCATCACCAGTACTGCTCGATAACATCAGCAGTTGATACTGATCTCCAGGTCCAGATCCAATTACTGCGAAAGTATTTGTTTGAAGATACAGAAAATCCTGGCTCCAGTAAAGTCACTACAAATATTCTGCTTCAGTTTCCATGGAGTCAGGGTGTCCCTGAGATCGTAAGACCCTCTTCTGCTTTGTATGGACAGATGGTATTTAGGTAGCATGAGTGCCTTCATTACATGCCATTACAGCAAAGCCTAAAAAAGGCTCTCTACAGAAAATCTTAAGACATGCAAGATCTTCAATAGCCATGACAGCAAGGGTCTTGGACAGAAATGATGTCTGAATAGCCCAGGGGTGTGTTTTCCAGATGGCTCTGACACTCCACATTTCCAGACTGACACTTCAGTTGTACTCAGTTTAAATAGTATATGCATTTGCAAATTGAATTCAAACCATTTTATATTTTGTATTCATTGCACACATATTTTTAAAATGTCAATGTTTCTAGTTAAATCTACATTATTATACACATTTTACAAAAGAAAATGGAATCACCTTTGCTTAATATGCACATTCCTAAGGGGTGTGCTGTGAATCATGCTAAAATACCAAAAATGCACAAACCTAAAGGCCCCTGATTTGCATTTAAATATCAGTTCTGTGCTTTACACAATGATTAGTCACCTGAAACTACTACTTTATGGAAGGTACCATATTTTTAGGATGTGAGAATATTACAGCATTCTGTATACAGAACATTAAATTTAAAACATCAGGTTGAATGATTTTACTGAAACCATTTTACCATCTATTTATTATTTGGTCTATGGTGCTAAAACTCCCAACAACATGGGTTTAAACAGCACATCTTAAAAGGTTCTGTAAATTACAGCAATAAACTAGGGAGGATCCCAGTTTTAAACAGTGGGAAAATTGGCATCCAGGATGCTTCACTTTGGAGACTTGCTCAAATTAACAGTCAAAAGCATTTTAAATTTTGGGTAGAGGTAAATCACACTGCTCTTATTCACTAAGTAGGTGACTAAGATCTGTGTATCTAAGAAAATTACTCTCCCATTTACTGCAACACAAAAAATACTTCTTTATAACAGGCTGCACATGCACCTTACAGTCATCTCTGTAATTACAGAATGCAGGTTTTTTTGTGCAGGAGTACAACCTGCCTTGTTCCCTTTTCCAGCATACTCTTAGTCATCAAATGCCTGGTACTCAAGCAAAATTCTTTCAATCCTGTACCACATTACGAAACTGGTGATATGCTAGAAGAGCGTATCATGTTTTATTCATCAAAAACACCTTAAAGGAACATGCACTAAATTAGTAACAGTGCGACTTACTGATATTCAGTAGTAGAAACACGCAAATTTATAACAATTTTTAGGATGAAGTATCAGTTATTCTACACATGTAAAAAAAGCTGATATCTGCTGTCTAATAAAACACCTGTTGCCCTCCCTTTTTTAGCTGTGCTACTTTCAATTTATCTCAGTTTCCTAGTATAAGGAGTATTTTAGTAGCATATGATTTCATTCATGCTAAAATGGTGTTTCACAGATTGCCAGCCACTATTTAAAAATGCACTTTAAATATTCTATCATATTGAAGATGTTCCAAGAAGAAATTAAAAAAATAAACTGTTTTGCATAAAATGAGACACAGAGCAAAAGCATCATCTTATAGATTCCTCTGAGTACAAACAGAATCCCATTTTTGATGATTTCTGATGAACTTATCTGCACCAAATTTTGTTAAAAATCACACTGTGGGAGGGATTCGGTCCCCTTTACTGACATTAGGGCTGATCAGGGTGAAGCTGTTCCATGCTGTAGAGAACTGATTTTGAAACCATAAGCATGGGTGAGTCACATCCTTTAACTCCACATTACCTGTAGAATTTCCAATACCACTTGGACTACATAGCTGAGAATTTGCCAGCTATTAAACGCTAGATGGTATATTCCATTTGTCTGCTATGGCAATTGAATAAGTGCCTTCACACCAGCCATAAAAATAGAACTTCTTTGTGATCTCTTCTTGCAGTCCATAAGGATAACCATCTCAAGTCTGCATGGAACTGGGCAGAGAAGTGTTTTTTACTAAAGCAGCAGTTATCCTAGGTGAGATCCGAACATCCGATATGAAGTAATAAAATCACAATTTTCCCAGCCAGAAATCCAGAAACAAGTAAGAATACTTCTTTCTTGTCTTTTGGATAATGGAAAGGTATAGATCAAATATAAATTATTTAGTCTTGTTGCATCTCACTCACAATCTGACCTCCCAAGTCCTGACAACCAGAGCAGCCAACAGAGCACTTCATTATTCTTCTTAGATGCTTCCTCCAGCCTCCTTGCCTATGCAGTATTTTAACAGAGGTAAAATAATGTACTTTCCCCAAAGCTCTATAATAATAAATGGCCAAACCCTATCAGATTAACTACAGTCATTAAAACCAGCATGAAACATACATTAAGCACTGACTTAAAAAATAGGATGAGAAACTTTATAATTAATGGCAAATTGACATGCAATAGCTGAATTCACTTATATAGGAACATAGGAATCTAATAAAGGAGGCCATTGCAGAGAAATTAAAAAATAAGCTCAATCACGATAATGTGGATTTACAGGAGTTGACTCAGCAATTTTTACACCTGCCTTAAGACCATCTGGAAATAACCACATCTTCAATCACTTGAAAACCCGACAGGTGAAAAACTCCATCACTTCCAAAGGAAACCCTAGACAGAAATTGTGGGACGCTAATTCTGCTGAGAGAAAGAAAACTGAAGCCTTTGAGATATGATGCTGCCAACGATCCTTGCATGTCTCTTGCAGAGATGAAAGCTGAAGTTAGAAACATTACTGGAAAAGACTCACTATTGTCAGAAATCAACAGGTGCAAACTTACATGCTTCACTCACATCAGCACAGAGATGGAAATAACCTTTAGAAACTAATTACAGGAAGAATGATAATGGGTCATCTCAACAGGGAATACTGAAGGTCAATATGGATAGACAGTGTACAGCAATTCACTGGGAGATCAGCAGCCTAACATTCAAAGCTAACACTAACTAAAAACACCATCTCTTTCTTGCAAGTACTTAAATACAAATGCTTCAATTTTGCTTACCAGTTGTGCCACTAAACCACATCTGTCCTAGAACAGAAAGATAATTCCCTCATAAAAGCAAAGTAATCGCTTTATTTCAACTAGACTTGCCATTCCTTAAGAGAATGCTTAGCTTACCTTAAGAACGTACCTGAAAAAGATACTATAATATATTACAGCCTCACTTGTTGATGATGGCTGAGAACATCATGCTCTTATGGATACATGCACAAGACTTTCAAGTGAACACACACTTTCACGAAGCTTTGACGCTGTAAGGAAGAAATCAACATCCAGAAGAATGGGGTGAAATCCTCAAAAGCGGCTGGTATTCTGCTCATACTTGAAACCTCACTGCTGATTCAGCACCAAAACTGCCTTAGTTAATAGTGCGAGCTGCAAAGAGAAGACATTTAGAAACAATTAATGCTAGAGTGTTTGTTAGCAAAAAATTTTCATTAGTAAATGCAGCCTATAATAGTCCAGGAAGCTCTCACACCTCCTCTATATATTTATCTTCTCTCCCTCCCTGAAGAGAAAATCTATGATTGATATTATAACTAGCAAGAGCACAGCAGACAGTTCTACACTGTGGTAGATGTATTAGGCACATGACAATCACACAGTGACAGATGTGTGTACATGAATTTATCTTGTTTTGTAGAATGACTATGTTAAAAAGGAAATTGTTATGGTTACAAAGTCAAAAACTGCCGTTATGATCGGACTCCCTATTTACAGCTGGTTTGGATCCCTTGTGCATCTCTGATATAGTCTTTAATGATGGGTGCTCAAGCCACTTTCCCCCATGAGCCCAAATTCAACCAAATTGCTTGTTCTAATGAAAGATACTGTATTTTTATAAACCCAAACATATTATCTTTTTATAAAGGCACATAAGGAAAAAAAAAAAAAAAGCACTTTGCTCTGGAAGACAAATTGTACAAGAAAGTTCTGAAGGCTATCTTACCCAGGCAAAGCTCCTGCCCAGAAAACAAGACTACAAATTTTCTATTGGTTCACTGATGAAATGAAGCAGGGTAAGGAAAATAAACTGCTTATGTTTCAGAGGGGGAAAAGAGCACTTGAACTTCATTCTTCCTAGATGACTACCCATCATCCTGAGGCTGACTGCAAGTGAAGGACCAAGCATTACCGTTTTGACATTAATGCCACAATCTTCCTCTTATCACAGGACTTTAATAAGAAGAAGCAGATATTCTTGTGATCTAATGTTCAGGACTAAGCCAGTGATATTAATACTCCAGAATATTCCTATATCAAGTCACCCACACTATACTGTTTAGTGCAATACTGACAGGAAAGACTTGACATTATCTAATTAGCATTAGTCAAGACAACATACTGCATCTAGAAATGACACAATATTGATATTTCTCACAAGAAAGAAATGCAAATAGGCTCTGCCATCAGTTTCACACTAAAAAATTTACAACAGAAACCACTACAATCACCACCAAAAAAAAAACCAAACAAAAACAAAACCAAAATGCTCACCCTTTTTTGCATGATTTCGAGTACTCGAAAGGGGAGAACCCCAATGGTTTTACCACTTAAACTGAAATATGTCTGCTACAGGATTTTTTACAGATTGGCAGCAATGACTCTCAATAATATTGGTTACCTTTGAAAACCTGTAATTCCAAACAACAGAGAACAGGCACTAATCTGACAGTCACTTAATAACTTCTTCGCATTATGAAAAGACGCAGCAGTTTAGCGAGACCTGCTCTTCAATGCTGCCCCTTAGAGGACACATTCGAGAAATTCACCGATCTCGTGTCAAAGAGCCTTTGAAGACAACACAAAAAGAGCTGGATTAGGACAGTATAATGTTGCGCCATTCTAAAACCATTCACTATTCCTCATACCACGTTCCTGCAAGCCTATAATGACATGACGGTTTTGATTTTATGATTTTCTTCATGTGGTAATCACAATAAGAACAAAATGAAATTTCCAAACTAAATCTGTACCAAATATTTTTAAATTTTTTCCCCCCCTTTTTTTTTTCTTAGCTCTCTTTATTAGTCTCATCAGAACAGAGCATTTTCTTCTGTAGTTCTCCTGAATGTGCCAGCAGTAACAGAAATTAAAAAAGAAATTACTGGTTAGATTGTATCACAGAGGAATGGAGGCATGAAGGCACAATGAAGTACTCCACTAGGTGTGAGAGTTCAACATTCAGGGATTTTGAAGGCCTGAAAAGCAGGTACCAAGCTGCTGATGAGAGAAAAGGGAGTTACACTTGTGTTTTCAAAATCATTAATAGAATCACACACTGCTGAATGACTGCTTTGGGATTCTTGTCTTGCCCAAAGATATCTTTGTGAACCCCACTCCATTGTATTTTTCTGAGTTTATGCACAAAGCAAGTCTAATTATCAAATGTCTGCTTAGCAAACTAAGTTCAAGTGAAGCCAAACTATACCAGTACGATTTGGAATTTGTTCACTCTGCTTTCCACCACTCCTTTCTGCTTAACGCAGTGTCTTCTTGGCCAAACTATCCAAAGCCTTTGTAAGTAATGAAACAAGACAACTTCTCTCAGAGCGTCTGCAGGTGTTGGGAACATAAATGACTCCCTCCTAAAACTGCAACTTGCTGATGTTGAAAGTAAAAGAGTGGAGGTATGGCTTGCCATTCAAAGCACTGGTTTGATGTCTTCTGCAGGCTCTTCCCAGCTGGCTGATGACATCTGTTAGTGGATCAAAATAATGGATGTGATGCTGTAGTAAATGTTTTGGACCATTTGCATACAAGGCAATGATTAACAGACAATCTGCTGTGAATCTCACAGTTGCCTTACTGATGTCCATATTTTACTCAAGAGAACCTGGACCATAAAGATGCGTAACTGCATAAGAAACGCTTAGACATTCACTTCACTGTACTATGTTTAAAAAAACCACCAAAAAAACCCCAGCTCAAATGCATCACAGTTAAAATCTATTCTGTACTGAGCAATGAATACCCAGCCTGCAGAGTTGGTAAGACAAACAATACTGACAATGAAAATCAGGTGGGACAATTGTCCCTCAAAAGCATAAAAAACAGAGATTTATTTACCGTTCGATTACTGTTTCAAGACTCTTAACCCCAATTCTGAACTCCATGGTTCAGAATTAAACCTGGCTGAGACCCAAGAAGGAAAACTACTGATACTGCTGAGTCAGGGATGTGGTGCTGGAACTTTGGTATCAGTCTGGTGTCATCCTTTTGCTTAGTTCCCTCATTGTCATTTCACCCATTCATTGTGTAGTATGCAAAGCATCTGGAGATCAAATACTTAGCAAATACATGTAAGTCAGAGTGAACAAAGTAATGCAGTATTTCAGGAGCTTTATGTATCTTCATAGCACAGTACAAAGAATAGTTCCTTCTGATTGGATGCACATGAGGGTGGTTTTCTTATTAAATAAACCTCCAGGACATTAACTTTTTTTTTCTGTTGTACATATTACAACAATGGTATATTAATAATTAGCTATTTTGTTGTTTATTAGAAAATGTTCTCTGCTTATTCTTTATATGGAAACTCTGTTGCAGTGCTTAAATGATACCTTGGTAACTGTCCATAATTATTCATATATATATGTCACTTTATTTTTCTCTATTATGGAACTTAAATAGCAAGGGAATAGACTTCAACTATTGTTTTTTTCAGGCAGTAGGTGGTGTATCTACTGCTCGAACATGAGATCGCACTTTGAGGATTTAGCATGTAAATACTGGGAATAAGTCGTGCGTGATACTCCCAACTGTTGGCATGAATCTATTCCATGGCCTTTAGCCCTTACTACACTATGGTTTGATTCCCTTACTTATACAACATGGTATAGTATCTCCTGCTCTGAAGAAGTGCACAGCATTGATTTATTAA